GTCGCGCGTGCGGAAGACGAGCGACAGGCCGCTGAGCGAGCGCCCCGACGATACGTTGTGCCCGCTGAACGCGGCGGGGGGGCCCTCGCGGAACGTGGCCTCGGCCACACCTGCGGAGAGAGGGAGCATTGGGCGGTGGCCTTTTCCAGGGACGCCTCGCCCCCTCCCCGAATGCGCGAGTGGCACCGTCTCCCACCCCTCTTCCCCGGGGCCGTGGAGGGCGGGCACACGCCCCCGTACCACCTAATCCCGGCACCTGCAGCCAAGCCCACCGCCCTCGCTTCCATCCGCCTCGTGCATTCCCCACCCCCGGAGAACCAGTTCCAGCCGGTGCTGGGGAGACCACAGTGCACACACTGCCCTCCAGGTCACAGGCCTGCAATATTAACCCCTCGAAAAATCTGCCCCCTTCCCCACTCCATGAAGCTGCCCAGGCTCATCTCATGGTGAGTCTTGCTCGTCCTTCTGCTTAAAACCCTTCCATGGCTCTCCAATGCCCTTGGGATAAAGTCCGAGCTGCCTGCCCTGGCGTTCAAAGCCTCTGCCACCCTCTCCACCCCATTTCCACCCTTCCCGTACCTGTGCTTCAGCTGTTCTTATAGACCCCAGGGCCTTTGCACATGCTACTCTCTCTCCCCAAAATGTCATTCCCTGTGGCCCGTCAGAGTTTGCACTTGAAAACCCCCAGCACATGCTCGCCTCCTTCAGAAAGCCTCTGACCCTCTGGACGCAGTGGCCCCACCGTACTGGGCAGGGGCTGTTGGCATTCCTGGCCCACATCCAGCATTCTATAAGCCTAGAGGGTCAGGGCAGGATCTAACCAGCTTGAGTGTCCAGTGCCCAACATGTGGGCTGACCAGGGCACACACTCACAGACAAAGCCATCGGGGACCTCCTCACAGGTGGCGGGAGGGAGGCAGGGCTGGCCAGGGCACCACAGCTGCTCGGCACACGTGGGACCCGTGAAGTTAGCAGTGCAGGTGCAGTGGAAGTCATTCCAGGTGACAAGGCAAGTCCCACCATTGAGACAGGGGTCAGGCTGTGAAAGATTCCAGGCAGGGCTGGCTCAGGCCTGTGGTTAGTGTCACCCCACCATGACCATCATTGCAGTGGTTCCCCACTGAGCGTCTCCTGCAGACACATCACCTCCTCACTGACAAGTGGAGAGGAAGTCACTATCATCCCCATTTTACAGATGAGGAAACTGAGGCTCTGAGAGGGAAAGCCACTTGCCTGGGTCTCCCAGCTGGTAAAGAGAGGAAGCAGAGCTGACACACAGCCATTCCAATTCCAGGGCTGGTGCCTTGTTCGTGAACCCGTGGGTGGCCCTGCCCCCCAAGTAGCTCCTTTGGAAAGGCTTGGGCAGCCCTCTGTCTGGGTCAGGGTGTCTGTCTCAAACCAGGACTGGGTGGAAGGAGGCACAGGGACCACCAGAGGGTAAGAGCAGCTGGGCTGGAGAGGAAATGAGCAAATCCTGCTCTGCCACTCTTGTAGTGAGACCTTGGGCAGGTCACTGCACTTCCTGAGCCTCAGTTTCCTCATCAATAAAAGGACGTGCTAAACCCTGATGATGCAGGATAGATCCTGGGAACAGGACACACTCCCGGGCACTCACACTGCACATGTCCTCGGAGACGCAGCCCACGGTGACATTCCGGAACTGCCCGGCGCCCAGCTCCTGGGGCTGGCTTGAGTTCTCCAGCAGCAGGGGAGAGAAGGGGAGGACGAGGCCGTTGAGTCGCAGATCCTGGAGGCAGCCTCGGAAGGGCCCGCCCCAGGGCTGGGTGTCAACAGCGAGGAGTCTCCCGCCCACATGCACCTGCCACCCCAGGTCCTGCAGCTGGTCAGACCCGAAGCTGAGCGTCACCAGGTGGCGGAGGCCATCATCCCAGCGCCCGGGGAGCACCACAGCAGGACTGCCCGGCGCCTCCGCCCGGATCTGGCCCTCCCTCAGGAATACTGTCAGGCTGGCTGCTGAGTCGTTGGCAAACTGGAGCAGCAGTCCTGCAGGCTCCCGCGTGCGGAGGAGGAAGGACACGGTGAGGTTGGGGCCCGGCAGCTCGTGGAGCACAAAGGAGGCAGAGCTCAGGGTGCCCCCCAAGCCAAAGGTGGCAGCTGGAACCTCTGCAGACAGAGAGGGGGCAGGGCGTGAGGCCTGCAGGCTGGGGGAGCCCAGATTTTAGGTGCTGCCTTCCCACCTGGCTCATTCCTCACCATCAGCACACATGGGGCCACTGTGAGGCCGGGGACAGTGGCAATGGAAGTGAGTCCACAGGTCCACGCAGGCCCCTCCGTGGGCACAAGGCAGAGGCTGGCACTGCTCATGGCGCTCACAGCCCAGGAGGACATTCTCCCCGAGATCCTCGGGCAGCAGGAGGTGCCCATCCACGCGAACGTCCTGGAAGCAGCCTGCAAAGGCCGTGCCACCCAGCTGGGCAGAGCAGAGCCCAGCAGTCAGCGGGGCTGCCGAGGCCGTGGGAATTGGGGCCACAGGACCCGAAGCTACACAGAGCCGGGCAGGGCAGCCCTCGTGCCATAGCCGCAGCTCCAGGGTGCCTAGGTGGAGTACCACCTCCACCTGGTGCCAATGGCCATCATTTAGGGCCAGGTCTGGCAGTCTCAGGACAAGCACAGTGGTGCCGTGCCTCCAGAGTGTGGCCTGCAGTGTGGCCTCCCCCAGTGCCAGCTCCAAGCTGTCCTGGGTGTCACTGCGACTGGCCAAGGCCCCAGCAGGCAGCGTGGTGCGAAACCGCAGTGCCATACTCAGGGGGCCACCAGCAGGCACCGAAGCCTGCACAGGGCTCCCGGCCACCACAGAGAAAGTGGTGTTCTGGCCACAGAAAGGTCCATGGGTCCCTGGTGGGCAGCGGCAGGCATAACTGTGGACCCCAGACTCGAAGATGGGGATGCAGGTGGCAGCCGGTGGGCAGATGTGGCCCTGGCAGCCAGTGAGCTGCACAGAACAGTCATGCCCACCCCAGGCCTCTGGGCACCAGCAGATGTAGCCTGCCACGGTGTCATCACAGGTTCCACCATGAAGACAGGGCTCCGATAGGCATTCATCCACATCTTCCTGGCATGTCAGGCCTTCAGGAGAGACCAGGCCAAGGCTCAGTAGTGCTCAGGGCCGGAACCATACTCTTGACCCAGAACTTACATACCTCTCATGATGGGGACCTTGTACCTATCAACCAAACCAGTTCCCAAAGGATTTCTCTGAAGTCCCCATAGGCCAGAATCCAAGATGCCCCTTCTCTTGCCATGTCCAGTAAGTCTCCATGCCCTGTGGATTTAATCCCCTAAACACTCTCCAATCCCCGCTTTCTCCCACCCCACGTCTCCTGCCTCGCCAGCTCTCTGGGCCCGAGCCCAGCATCCCCCAGTCGGCCTGCTTTCAGAAGCCCCTCTCCCACCCATCTCCACCAACAACCGGAGGTCTACTTCCCGGGCATCACCTGGCTAGGTTCCTCTGCTGCTTAAGGTCCAACCACTCGCTTGGCATTCGACCCCTTATGGGCTAGGCCCTATCAGGCCCCCAAGCCTCAGCCCTGCTCCCTACAAACCTTCAACTGACCATTCCTCCAAGCATTTTCTGGAAAGTCCTATGTCCAGGGCTTTGCTCATTCTATTCCCTCTGCTTGGAATGCCTCACCCTCCTTTACCCCGCCTTTCAAACTCCTACTCATCCTGCAAAGCCCAAACTCAAAGGACCCAGAGGTTTCCCTGACTCCCAACCCCAAACTACTGTGTCACCCTCACTCCCAGGCGCAGCTCCCAGAACCATGTATTGAAAGTATCTGTTTACTCAGCTGGGCTCTCTTTCAAGGGCCTGAATAGGATGTTGGTGGCCAGCAAAGGGCTTGGCATGGCTTTGCAGACAGAGTGATGAAATGGAGGAGTGAGTGGGGGCAGGTGTATGCATCTGGGGCACTCTGAGTAGCCCCAGGCTCTAGCCCCTCAGTCCCTTTGCTCTAGGGCCCCCACGCTGGCTGTGAAGGGGCCACCTCATCCTCCCCTCCAGGAGCTCCCTCCAGGTGCTCTGGCCCTAGCTTGGATCAAGATGCCACAGCCCAATGCCAGCTCAGCCAGAGCCTCCACAAAACACACCAAGGCCAGCCCTGCCCCATATCCCAGCTGGAGGAACCCCAGCCCAGAGATGCCACCAGGACTTGAAGCCTGCCAGTCAGCCCTCAAACAGCACAGCCTCCATCTGGGAGCTGCCAGCCAGCAGCCCAACCTCCCCTGTCCCAGGCCTCAGTCCTCCATACCTGCCTGGAGCCACAGGCCCCCCAGGAAGGTCCACAGAGTCCGCAGCCCCATTGATCCCCCACAGATGGCTGAGAGGAGAGGGGTGGGCGGGCACCGAGGCTGGGGAGCAGAGCTCCCCACCGGGCCCAGCTGCCTCCTTCAGAGCCGGCTCAGGAATGCCAGGCACTGGCCTCCCCCACGCCCAGCACGGCCCAAAGGGAGGACGGGCAGTGAGCCCAGCCCCATGGCCGGGGTTCCCCTCCCGGGCCCTGACCTCAGAGATATGCCCTCCCTGTCACCGTCAGCTGAGCTCAACTGGGAGAGCAGCTGGGTTCCCGCTGACGCTGGTGAACCCGGGGATGACACCCCTGTCCTAAGCCTCCATCACCTCATGTGTAAGATGGGGCTTTTAAACCCCTTCCTTGTGGAGCTGTGGCGAGGAAGAAATAAAATGCAGAGAATGCTTCCAGACGCCCGGCATGCTGTAGCGGCCATGGTGTGCCAGGCACCTGCAAGGCCATGGTCCTAGAGTGGGACGTGGAGAACCTCAGCCCATGGGGGAAATGGATGGGCTTTCAGGGCCCCTAGGGGTGCTGGCCATGCAGGAGGTGTGGGATGCGGAGCCCCAGCATCTTCGGGGGGTGAGGGGGGGTGGGGATCTGCCAGGGGAGCCTGTGCCCAGGAACCTGCCAGGGAGAGGAGCAGTGTGCCTGAGCAGGAATGCGGGCGGGTGTGGGGGAGGCATCGCAGGCATTCCAGAGGGGGCAGGGACACTCGGTGAGTGTGTAGTTCCTTGGGCTCCCCAGTGTCCAGTGTCTGTGCATCTGCACTCCCAACTCCTGCCTAACAGGACCCAGCTCCCCAAAGGCCAAGCTCATCCTTGTACAGATTCTGCCCCCAGCTCTCTGTAATGTCCCCTTTCCTCTGTCCTGGCTGAACCACCTCAATCCTCCCTGCAGGCCCCTCAGCTTCGGCCTGGCCCTCTGATGTCAGGAGTCCAAGCTTCTCTCTGCCCGTCGCTTCACGCATTGTCCCAGACAAACTCAGCCCACCATGGCCCCAGCTGCCGGGATTATGCTCCTGAATCCTCCCTGCAGGCCCCTCAGCTTCAGCCTGGCCCTCTGATGTCAGGAGTCCAAGCTTCTCTCTGCCCGTCGCTCCACGCATTGTCCCAGACAAACTCAGCCCACCATGGCCCCAGCTGCCGGGATTATGCTCCTGACCCCCAGTCTCTGGCTCTAGCCCAGGCCCCTGTCTTGGGCCCCAGACCCCAGACCACCAGCCCCACCCTGGCTCCTCCCCATGGATGTTCCAGAGACACTCTGTATGCACAAGGCTGAACTCACCACCCTCCAGCTGGTGTCACCTAGGACAGAACTCCAGCCATCATCCCTGACACCTCCCACTCACACCGGAGGACCTACAGAGTGTCCATTCTGAATATTTCTCAAGCTGATCAGTCCCCTTCTCTCCTACCTTCAAAGCCCAGGTCCCAGCTCAGCCCCTGGGCCACCACACCCACCTCCTCCCTGATCTCCTTGTCCCAATCAATCCACACATCAGACAGAAGAACCCTTCTCACCCTGGGCCCACCAACTCTGACCTTGCCCTGCCTCAGTGCCTGCCCCACCCTGGCACCTGTGTAGCCATCCCGACAGTGGCATTGGAAGCCATTGGGTAGGTCCTGGCAGCGGCCTTCGTTGACGCATGGCTGTGAGACACACTCATCCACGTCCACGCTGCAGTCGTCCCCTGCAAGAGACCCAGCTGTGGCTCCCATCTGCACCCTCAGAGCCAGACCCCAGCTGAAAGGGTCCACTTTATAGCCAGAGAGACTGGCTCTGACTCAGACAGGGTGGCACAAGGTGAGCAGCAGGACCAGGCCGTTGGGATCCCTCCCAATGCATCCGGCCACTGGCTGGCTGCTTCCCCAGCGGGGGCTCACCCTCAAAGCCGGGAGGACAGCGGCACAGGAAGCCGGCCGCGTGAAGGAAGCTGAAGTCGCCGGGGAAGGTGGCCTGGCCGCCCCCGTAGAGGGCCGGGTCTGAGCGCTGCAGGCACTGGCCCCCGTGCTGGCAGGGGCCCGCCGCACACTCGTCCTCGTCCACCTCGCACCGCTCGCCACTGTAGCCTGGGGGCGCACACACGGGGCGTCGGGTCACACGGGGTCTCCAGGCAGCACCCCTCCACTGTCACCAGGCCAGCCCAGGGCCAGACAGGGACGACAGCTCGGAATGACATCAACAGCGAGCGAGGGACGCATTGAGGGGTGTGGGAATGCCTGTGGCAGCAGCAGCACAAACTATTATTACTAGCAGTGCTGAGCACTTCTGTGCCACGTGCTTCACGGGCATGACACCGTCACCCGCCTCGCAGCAACCCTATCTTGCAGATCAGGAAACTGAGGCTGACAGGTCGCAGTCACAGGCGCGCGCACGCTGGTCCGAGGGCGGCGCCCGCGCTCGCGCACGCGCACAGCGGCGCACCCGTCCCCCCGCCCC